GTGTGTGTGTGAGAGAGAGAGAGAGAGAGAGAGAGAGAGAGAGAGAGAGAGAGAGAGAGAGAGAGAGAGAGAGAGAGAGAGAACGATCGCGGCCTGCGCCATCGCCTCTGGCCTCGGCCTCCGCCCACCTCCGTTCGGCCTCCACCCACCTCCGCTCGGCCCCCGCCCACCTCCGCTCGGCCTCCACCCACGTTCGCCCACCTCGGACCACCTCCCATCCGTCTCCGCCCACCTCCGTCGGCCTCCCCCCGCCATCTCCTCTCCTCCGCCGCCGCCACGTCTCGTCCGCCTCCTCCGGTTATCTCCTCCCACCATCTCCTCTCCGCCTCTGCCACCTCCCGTCCACCTCCTCCCGCCCGGCTCCTCCCGCCATCTCCTCTCCACCTCCGCCACCTCCCGTCCGCCTCCTCCCGCCATCTCCTCTCCACCTCTGCCACCTCCCGTACGCCTCCCGCCATCTCCTCTCCGCCTCCGTTCCGCTGCCCGCACATCCGCCATCCCTCTGCCCGCCTTTTAAAACAAAAACAAAAAAAAATGGTGCGTGCCCACCTCCCCTCGGCCAGCGCCGACCTTCTGTCCGCCTCTGCCCACCTCCCTCCCGCCATTGGGATCGCCAATCTCGCCTCCGCCTCCGCCCACCTCCCATCCGCATCCTCTGGCCATGTCCTCTCTCTCTTTCCGCTCGGCCTCCGCCACTTCTCCTCCGCCTCCGCTCACCTCCGCTTTGGGCTCCGTTCCTCTGCCCGCACATCCGCCATCCCGCTGGACATCCCACTGACCGCCACGTTTTTCTTTTTTTTTTTCTTTTTTAACAGTGCGCGCCCACCTCCCCTTTGCCTCCGACGACCTCCTGACCGCCTCTGACGACCTCCTGTCAGCCTCCGGCCACCTCCCTTCCGCCATTGGGATCTCCCATCTCCCCTTGCCTTCCCCCCACGTCGCATCCGCCTCCTCCCGCCATCCCGCTGCACATCCCGCTGTGCGCGCCAACCCTCCCTTCCGCCATTGGGATCTCCATCTCTCTTTGCCCTCCGCCCACCTTGCGCCCGCCTCCTCCCAACATCCCGCTGCACATCCCGCTCTGCGCGCCAACCTCCCCTCGGCCTGCGCTGACCTCCTGTCCGCCTATGCCCACCTCCCCACCTCGCGTCCGCCTCCTCCCGCCATCCCGCTGCACATACCGCTGTGCGCGCCAACCCTCCCTTCCACCATTGGGATCTCCCATCTCCCCTTGCCCTCCGCTCACATCGCGTCCGCCTCCTCCCAACGTCCCGCTGCACATCCCGCTGTGCGCGCCAACCTCCCCTCGGCCTCCGCTGACCTCCTGTCGGCCTCTGCCCACCTCCTCCGCCCGCTACCTCCACCCACCTCCGCGAGGCCCCCGCCCGGTACCTCTGTACACCTCCCCTTGGCCTCCGCCCTATGCCTCCACCCACCGATCGGCCTTCGCCCGCTCTCCTCTCCGCCTCCTCCGGCCATCTCCTCTCCGCCGCGGCCACTTCTCCTCTGCCCACCTCCCCTCGGCTGGCGGCCCACCCCCCGTTCAACTCCTACCGTCCTCTACCTCCGCCCACCTCCGCTCGGCCTCCACCCGCCCCGCCCGCTATCTTCTCTCCGCGCGGCAAAGAAGATTCCTTGGAGAGAGAGAGAGAGAGAGAGAGAGAGAGAGAGAGAGCTGTTTTCTTTCTTTTTCTTTTCTTCCCCCTCCATACATTGAGAGAGAGAGAGAGAGAGAGAGAGAGAGAGAGAGAGAGAGAGATCTGTTTTT